TCGTATGATTCCAGCTTCGTTCGGGGTCATCGAACTTTGTGTGATACGTTGTTTTTGTAAACTCGATGCATACTGTCTTGCTGTCGTTTGATAGTTTGTGCAAATTTTCATCAGTTTGTGTTTTTGTTCCGAGCAGTCGGTTCTGGGTCGTGTGAACTTTGCGTGAACGGTGGATGTGCGCGTCGGACCACAGAGAGGTTTGTCTTGTTTCGGGAGATCTGGCTGTTGTGTTGAGTTTTTCTGTGCGTGTGACGATGATGATAAAATAATGCGTTTCCTCTTCAGGGGTTCATGTCGGTCGTATGAATATTCAGTTTGTGTACATCTCCACTCCGGTGGTGCTCTCCACTTAAAATGTCTTTTTTTGTCCTGTTCAATTTAATTCACTTGTTGTTTAACCAACCTGCAAATCTAAGCTGAGTGTTTGATCCTCAAGACTGCTAGGTAACCCGTCTCCTCCGCCTGCCGGGACGCTGCCCCTTCAAAACGTTGGCGGGTTTTCAACACGGCTAATTGGACCAGAACCACGACTGCTGTCAGGACCGTGTTGAAGCCCGGTGGCTCTTTGGTGTGGCGGCTCCGAGGCGAGGAGGGTTCTACCACCGGGGGTTTAAATCCCTTCAGACATTATAAATGCTGCAGTGGATTCAAGCTTGGTGTCCGGTTCTGTGTGGACCAGCAGGGCCACACGGCCTCTGACCCAGAACCGAGCATGAAAGCACTCGTCCGCTCAGCGTAGAGCTTCCTGTATCAGACTCCTGGTTCTGAAGGCGGGAGCACCGGGTCTCATGGTTCTTGTTCTTTTTCTAACAGAAGTCCAAACTTTAACCTGCAGAATTTTCTATTGGATTCTATTGACAGATAGTTCTGTGTGAACCCAAACCACATGACTGTTGTGGCAGATGCTGATTAATGAGGGCTAATAAACCGGCTCGTTCTTTCTGACTCCGTCTCTTTCTGAGAATTTAAAAAAAAATTTAAAATGTTAAACTTGCAGAACATGATTGGACCGTTCTGGATGGAAGATGCAACATTCCTGAGAGTATATGAACTGTTTTTATTTTTTGTTCTGTGCGCTGTAGTACCACTCAACACCACCAGAGGAGCTCAACGTGAATTTTAAAACGCAGAGGAAGAACATACTTTGCAGAACATGCAGAAAATAAAGACTTGTTTATTTAAAGTGCGAAGTCATGAGCTCGAATCATGAGCAACATCGTTCATATTTGACCTGATCAGGTTTAAGGGTCACAGGTCTGATTGAAATCCTCAATAAAATGAGGTGTGTAAAATACATATTTATATTTAAATGTGTATGTATATATATGTGCGTGTGTATGTATATATATATGTGCGTATGTATGCATATGTGCGTATGTATATATGTATGCATATGTGCGTAT